TTTTTTTGCCATCTGTGTCCCATTCGTGAGAATCACCATTACTTCCATACCAGTTGTTTTCTTGTGTCATCACTCTATTGCACTCCCCCCTGGGGGTGACTACAGGCAGCTGCCCCCCTGGTGGTGACTACAAGCAGCTGTGCTGACTAACATTGCACTGACATTATCCACCATGGTCACTGTCAAGAATATGGTCCAGAGCAATGGTTTGCAGACAATGCTGGAGCGACTGCATATAGATAGGAAGTGGCTGAAAGAGGCTAAGGGAGATCAGTAGCATTGAGAGAAAAAAAGTGGGGAAGATGATGAAAAGAGTACTTCATGGTAAAAAAATATGAGGCAGTTGTTCTTGGCCAATGATACAGAGTGCTTTAGAAAACTAGATGCCTTGCATTTAGGATTTAGGCCTACTTTCAAATGCTTTACGTGTCCTTGTAGCACAACGTCTACCACATGACAGCTTGGAAAAGCCATGCTTTTGTGCAGCCTATATTTTCTTAAACCTGGAAGTTAAAAATAAAGTAAAGGAAAGACTAAAAGTTGTTCATGGAATTATCATTGTGTAAGTTTGGAACGTTAAGATTAAATGCTGTAATAAACCTGCATGGTCTTGTTGATTTTTATATTCTGGCATTATAACACCCTCATCCTGAAGATATTTTAAAAGCCTATGGCCGTCTTGTAAATATAACTCTTTTGTTACACTGTTTTACTAAGTACTGTTTTTAAAATGAACCTGTCAGGACAGAATAATGGGTGATGCCACTTTGGAATGTTTAAAGCTGAAGTCCATTTATATTTTGTTATGCCGCCCTGGGGGTATGACTTACCTCCATTGAGGTGTGTTCCATGTCCTGGTGGCTGTTGCCTATTGTAGAAACCGGCATTGAAGGAACGACAGATGAATGACTGGACCCACCTCCTGTCCAATTTAAATAATGCCCCTTCTTATATTTGTAATAATGATTTGTTGACTCTAACATAGATTGTCTTGGTAAAAGTTTTTTACTTTGTGCAAATCTGATTGTAAATCTGACAATTGTAATTTTTCGCTTCTTCCTGCTGTTCGCAGTTTTTTTTGTTTTGTTTTTTTACATCAAAAGTCGTTTTGATCTGCTCTTTCCACTAAACCATCTTCAGATTATTTTGATTGTATTTTATGTCATAAGTACAGTATTGCTTTTTGACATCTGTTATTTTTTTATTGATTTACTATCTTGGCTTTAGTTGTAATTGAGTATTTTAACCATATGAGAACTTTGGGTATATGATGCACAGCCTAAAAACAAGGAAATACTTTAGGAGCATGCTGTACATCCTGTTCCCTTGTGTAAAACAAAGCTTCTGAGCAATGTTTAAACAGTATGCAGAAGCTTCATTGAGAATGATATTGTTACAGCATGATATTTACTTGGTTTCATTATTCTCTAAGTAATTTAGAAATTCCAGAAATAGAATAGAACAGCAAGGAAAAATTCAGAATAGAAAAAAAATAAAAAATGTTGGGCCATAGGAATGCATTGCTAGATTCCTATTGGCTATTTCAATTTGCAATAGCCAATAGCAAACTAGCCCTCTGCTGCAGTTCTCCATCAGGTCCACAACTACTGGTTGACAGCAGCAGAGGGCGGGAACAATAGCTAGTTTGCTATTGGCTATTGCAAATTGAAATAGCCAATAGGAATCTAGCAATGCATTCCTATGGCCAAAAATGTTTTTTTTTTTTTCTATTCCGTGTCAGAAAAAAGAAAAAAAAAGAGAAAGCTGTGTTTCTCTCCTGGGCGGCCGGGAGCGGGAGACTCCCGGAGCGCCCTGGAGAGGTTTCTTTTCTTCTTTTTTTGGACGGCAGCAGAACCGCCGGACAATAGAAAACAGTTGGGCAGAGCTAGCTGTCACTGCTAGCTCCGCACAATCGTTTTTAATTTTTTTTCTACTTTTTTAACTATTTTTCTGTTCTGCTCGGTCCGACAGAGGGACCTAGCAGAACAGCTGAGCCGTATGCCGCTGAGCCGTATGCCGCTCAGCGGTATTCGGCTATTCACTCACTGCTGTTCGGCATCTATAAGAATAAACCAAACAGCAGCGAGTAGCCTGCCGCAGGTTCGGCTTAGCCGATCCAGATGTTGGATTGGCTGAGTTGAACTCCTTCTGCACTTCAGGTCGGCCGAACATGCTGTGCATGTTCGGCCGACCCGAAGCCACCTGATGTACGGCTGATTTCAGCCGATATACGGCTGAAATCAGCTGTACCAGCCTGAAGTGAATAGCCGAACAGCGTTCGGCTCACTTCGCTTTAGGTCAGTCATTCACTCGGCTGTCTATGGCAGCTTAGTGAATAGACCCCTAAGAAGGAGAAGCAAGTAGGAATTTTAACCCTTAAGAAGCCAAGAAACCCTAACCCAAGAACTCAAGTAAAAGCAATTTAAACTGCAAAAAGCATTTTTGAATTTTTTTATCATATGCTATGTGAATGGGAATGTGTAACAAATATAAAATAGGTGTCATCCCAATGTGGCAGCAAAAGTGAAAATACACATTAAGTGTCAAGTCTTGGCAGAAAACTATTGTTTTTAGGGTTCTGACACAGTAAATAAGACAGATTCCAGCAAGTGTGTGCTACTAGTTTTGTTACTGGCATGTAGCTTTTGTGAGCTGTCATTCTAATAGTCAGACTTGCCATTAATTAACCAGTTATAATATCAGTCTATTTAAAGCACTGAACTGTTAAAAACAAAAACTCACAGGTATTTAGAGATGTACACACACTGTGCGTAGACCAGGGCCAGATCCAGGGCCCAGGGCAAAGATGCCAAACTGTGCACCCTACCCCATGTGCGCACCTGATTGTCTCATATACACTAGCAGATTTTGTATCATATTGGTCTTATAGATAAGGTTTACTTTGTAGGGATTGAGTGGATATAATCTAAATAGATTGTTCAGGCCGACTCTTTTACATTACAAGGGCTGGTACATTTTGCTGATCTGACAGACTGAATCTAGCTGTGTGTGATCAGCTTTGCTCATGGAACCAACAGTGCTACAAGATAACCAAAAACATAAAACGTATTGTGTATGGGTGATAAGAGTTTATTGTATAACTCGTTTTACATAGCCCACGGGTGATCTGTATGGAGAAGTTACTGTGATAATATAAAAAAGAAAACCATTAAAACAAATGTGGAGACAATGTGCCAAGTCAGCATCTGTGTGTGCAAATCACTAACTAGAGGCAACAGGATCTTGCCAGTGTCAGCTCACACTCAGCATTGGAGATAGGGTTGCCACTTTTTCTTTAGGCGAAAATCGAACACTCTAGCATCGCAGTTTTTTTTTTTTTTAGAGAATATACAGGAGTGAGTGATCAGAGACAGCCAGGAGGATGAGCGAGGAGAGACGGCCAGGAGAGAGTAAGAGAGTAGAGACAACCAGGAAGGTGAGCAAGGAGAGACAGCCAGAAGGATAAGCAAGAGGAGACCGCCAGGAGGATGAGTGAGGAGAGACAGCTAGAATGATGAGCTAGGAGAGACAGCAGTCATACGTGCAGACAAAAACGCACAATTTTTAATAGACGTGCATTTTTTCACGCGTTTGAAGCTAAAACCACAGTCAGAACGTGCAGAAACCGCCCAGAAAATTGTGCATGTATTTTTTTGCTGCGTTGCACATTTTTGTATGCGCGTACGAATGCACAGGTGTGAACAAGCCCCATAATGTATTGTTTTTTTGTGTTTTGCGCATTTCTGTGTGTATAGATACTTGCGGGAAACTGCTCAGGTCTGAACCAGGCCTTAGTACTCCTCATATCTATTAAATGCCAGTGGGGATGTTGCACCTGCTGGAGAAATACAAGTCCCACCGTGCGCAGCTGAGCCCCACAGAAGAAGCCCACACACATCTCTCCCCACACTATTTGTAATCTTGTGTCCGCCTGGTGGAACACTATCCTCCCCGCAGACAGTCCTCTCCTCTCTCTCCTCTTTCCAAGCACAGTTCAGCACCTGCACTGCCTGTCAACACAGCAATGACCACAGAAGGAGAACGGGTGTGTCATTACTCTCCCTGCTTTGCAATCTGGAGCCGGCTCTACATACCAGCACAACACAAGGACCCCGGGGTTGCCCCTGTCTGTCTGACATCATGTGTCTGGGTGTCACCTGCCCTGACACCCAGACACACCTCAAACAAGACTCAAAACCCGGACTGTTTGGGTGAATCCCAGACAGGTGGCAACCCTAATTGGAGAGGTCGAAGAATGAACACAGCAGCCTATTGATAACTATTGAAAAGCCACCTGAACCAATTTTCTGCATAGGCAGGGCCCCCTGATCCCTGGAGTTTACAAACCCCACTGCATAGACACCATTCATATTCTGTAATTATTATGTACCTTCTCCTGTAACGTGCTCAGTCATAAGCATTTTATATTGTATAAGAAAAACTGAATGAAAATATAGTCATGTGTTTTTTTCTTCATTGAGAATAAAAAATAATTAACTAATTGTGCTTTACTTACAAAGTAGAATTTTGTACTGTGTCAATATATTTCAGTAAGCATAGCAATACAAAGTTGGCCATAAAGATCATCAAGCTACAAGGCACAGCTTTAGCCATCTGTGGAGCACAGACCACAGGAATACTCCTGTTTAGTTATGTAGGACAGAGGCACGGGGTACACATTTATTCTACTATCCTGTTTTCCCTATACAAAAGAAGTGGCACCTGCAAAATAGATTGTTGCATGATGTGATCAAAAATAGCTGGTTTGGGAAATTGTAATTTCACATTAATGGGCACTTTATATGTGGGTTTTCAAGTCTACTGTCATTTCATTCTTATAAAAAGAAATTAGACAAACAAAAAAACAGCGGGTTTCAAATGTAGTGGCTTGTATTGTATCTTCAATGCGCTTTTAAACCAGGACTAATATCCAGTAAAACAAAATGGCTTATTTTCCTACTTGGTAGTCCAATGAGTAACTCCTTGTTTTATTGTTACAGATTGAAGATATCATCACCAGAATGCAAGATGATAAAGCTGGTGGGGTACCTATCCGAACAGTTAAAAGCTTCCTGTCTAAAATCCCAAGTGTGGTTACAGGTAAAGACGATTCATTTGCCTTTCTTTGATGTATAAGCTTTTCTAAAAACACATAAGGAACATGCACGTTAAATCAGCTGAACACTTCCAGAAATGTTGTAGCTTTTGGAAACATCATGGTATTTAGAAAGGGCAAATACTAATAGGCAGGGAATTCTCTGAAATAAGGTGTAGCCATTTCTGAAGCAGTAGGATTCTATTAAAAAAACATAAAAAATGAACTTGAGGCAGATATAAAAATACACCAATTATAACAGTTATGTTTTTATTAAAGTATGATGAAATGCCTTTTATTTAAATGCAACTAGTGAAAATACATGAATTTGGCATGGAATTAGCTTCTTGTAATTCCCTATGTAGCATCATTTAGACCTAAATGCATGTACTAATAAGGAACAGAGCAACAGATGGAGAGAGCAGGTGGATCACTCCTCAGTATTCTGCTGCTTCTTTGCTGTCCAATAACAGGCCGAGGACATGGAGGTAATCAAGCTGTACTACCTAACTGCTGTAAAGAACAGCCAGGTCACAGACGTGGCTCTGCTGTCTGCCAGTGTAAATCTCAGGACTGGCTGAACAAAATGACGAATCTCTTGGCAGGTAAAACAGCTCTCTAAGGCTTTGTTCACACCAAGCGCGGAGCAGGTGCAGAGCAGAGCAGTTACAGACCGGAGCAAAACTGCGTCCAATGTATTCCAATGGTATTTTTATTTATAGCTCCAGTTCACATCTCAGCGTTCAGTTCCAGAGCAGGTAAAAAAGCTGCAGCAGGCCCTATTTTATCTGCTGTGGACCTGCTCTGGAACGCATGCAAACGCATCAAAAATGCATGCAAACGCCTGGAACGCAGTGAAAGGCCATTGTAAACTAAAAAAAAATATATATATTTTTTTTTAACCAAAAACGGCCCGGAACGCATCAACGCGGCACAACCCACTGCACTGCATGTGCAGAAACTCATGCAGATCTGGTCTGCATTTGGTGTGAACAAGGCCTTACACAGTGTGTATTTTAAGTATGTATTTAGCTGTTTGCCTGGAGTTGAGCAAAGCTTGTTGGTGTCCTCTTTGTATTTTACCTTGTGGCCACCTTTGAAACTATTTGAAAAAGCTTAGTGCAGATGGGCATGATATAATGTGGAAATCTTTGGAAAACAGTATGACCCAACACACAACCTGATCAAAGCTTTTTCGGGAATTTTATAGGTAAGGTTTATCTCTAGACAAAACATTTTTTAGCTTTGGATAGGGAAGGGTGAGCCCCTTCAAATAGTTATTATTGCTGTTTGTGTGCTCATGGGGAGATTCACCACTCTATTTGTCTTAATGACTATTGTCACTGAAACACAAGGTGGGGTTATTCCAAAACTGAATTGTCCCCACAACAAAAGGTAAGGGGAAATCTTCCAATGTGGACATTTGTTTGGGAAACAGCTGTCTAAGAGGGAACAGTCCCATTACTTTGGGAGATTTCCTTTAACATCCTGTTGGGCCTCTGGGACAGGAAAATCCAGTGAAGGAAAATGTCCACAATGGTACACAAACAGCAAAAAATACAGTGGTAGGAGTCTAAAACTAAAAACAAGTTTTGGCTATACATACACTTTAAAGACCTAACAGAATAATATAGTTACAGTTATTTAAAAAGATGCAACCAGGAAAAAAACGATTGTTTTTCCTATCTAAGTGCTTTCACTCATTCTGAATGAATATCTTTATGTTAACTGCTATGAAAAGGTAGTTATGATAGTGTAATGTAAAGTCCGCCCAGCTGTCAGAAGCAGGCTGTCGGCCGGCCAATGGCTGGCCGCTCGGCCAGCTTCGGCTTTCAGCCGCTCGGCCATGATCGGGAGCTGTACGGGCTATTGCGAAGGGATCCTGGGGCCGAAGCTAGCCAAAGGATCGGCTGAAGCTATGGCCAGATCCTTCGGCAGCTTCGTGAATAGACCCCTAAGACTTTATTCCTAACTCATTCACAAAATGGAAAGTTGAAAATAGCTTTGTTTGTGGCATCCTTATTAATCTTGGCCACAGAGTCAAAGAAGAAAGACAAGAAAATCTCCTTAATAATCTCTGAGATAAATAGACTTGAGACCAAATATAAATGCCCACTTGCTCCTCAAGAGGAACAGGATCTGTGCCGAGGGAGAAATTTAACTCTCTTGGTCTCATTAAGGCCACATTTTCCAGAGCAAGCATACGTAGTGTATGTTTTATGCATTTGCTAATAAATGTAGATGCCCCCAAGTCAATGTTTTACTCCGCCCCAAAATCAAAACATATATCTCACACATAGACACCCTTACGGGAGAATTAACTCAACAACTGCTGCCAATGAATCAAACTCTTCTTAATTATACAGTACAAGACACAGACTTCTTTAATCATAGACATTGAGTTATATGCAGCTACCTTCAGACAAAACCGTGGAACCGCCCATGTAACCCCTCTAGCAAGCCTGTTTCTTTATAGTGTCCTTAGGTAAAGACCTTCGACCAAGTGGATTGGGAGTTCCTGGACCTCACTCTTCAGCATATTGCACTCCTTCCCTATAAGACACAGACACAGTCCTCAAACCCCTCCCTCCCCCCCGTACTGGAGACCTAAACTCATCACCACTCATCACACTCTTTACCCTAGTCCCTCTCCCCGGGCTTTCCCTTTTAATTCTGCCAATCCTTCCGCCCGCTTTCCCCCTTCCCCCCATGTTGGTTCCACCCTCTCACACAGTGACCTCTTCTGCTCCCCACTCCTTATTCACCTCAACTTTACTCCTCTGTTCACCCTTCAGTCCCACAGTTTTTCCATTTACGCACACAACAAAAGAAAAATATCCGCAACATGAGTTGGCTTCAGCACACTTTTATGTAGTTGAAAGGGAGAACGGTCAGCAGGTCATGGTTGTTTTGGTCAGAGGCCCTCCCTACTGACTGTATCTTACCATCAAGTTTCTTTGTAACATAACCTATGTGAACAGTCTATCTGTCTTATGTACAATCTATATGACTAAGGAATGGTTATGTACCTTCTATTATTTGGTATGCATTGTGGAAAATTAATGAAGAATTTAAAAAAAAAACAGTCATGTAGTACTTATTATAATACTTAGGGGGGCTTTTATAGAAGAAAGGAAGCAAAGGGCAATACAGGCATATAGCAGTCACTTTCCGGCTGACATTTCTATAGCACTACCTAGCAATTCAAAGCAAATGTTCAGTTGGAAGATATGGGCAGCATTATCCTTTATTTATTTTCATAAATATATTTCCAATTATTTCTCTTGTCAATCTACACTGACGTTCTTGCACAAACCTGTTCCCATTCTTTGGCTTGGCAAAAAAAATGCTCTGAACATACCACTTAAAAAAGCAACCAGGGAAAGTCCTTCTGCATATAGCTCTAAAGAAACACTAGTAAGTATAAGAATCACAGCCTGACTATTTTACATGCTGTTTTCGAGGCACAAAACTGCAGCTTTCTTTGTTACCCAATTAATTCTGCTTGAGCTACACGCTGTCACGGGGGCTTACTCTAACAGATAATAGCAGTGGCGTTTCTTGAAAAATGTCAAAATATCAAGAGTGTTAAACTAGACGATGATACATTTCATCGTTATTTATTACAGCTCCTTCTAAAAAAGGGAAATGCTCTAGCCTGCTTTCTGCTCTGGAACAAACAAAGAGAGGCGTCACTTGCTATTTATTCCTAATTTTATGGTACAGCGCTCACCCCACCTCTGCAGCAATCATGGTTTTAACCACACTGCATCGCTACTAATCCTATGCTACAGGAATTTGGATGTGACCCATTTACTGTAGGTCTGCTCCACAAAAATCCTAGCCATACGCAGCTAGGACTTCTTAGAAAGGCTGAATTGTAAATGTCAGCTGCTTTAAGTACACAAGGTTTTATGTTGGAGGCATTTGAACTGTTATCAAATAAAAAAGTGCACAACACAGGATATGAGCAGCCATGTCTGCAGTTTAAAGAGCAGGGAGGATTCCCACAGTGCGTTAACCCATAACAACTAATCAGAATTCTGATAATTCAGGTCACTGTAAGATACATTCTGCTTTATTGCTGCTTTGTCAGGTTGCACATTGCTATTTACCTTATTACATAAGCTTGCAAGTGAGGTTAAAATGTAATTCCTATGAAACAATTCTATTAAGATTCAAGCTTCATGACAGAGTATAGAGGTAGTAATGCTGTGTGCGTAGATAACCCCACAGGAACCAGTTAGATTGAACTTTTCCTTCTAGTGTCATCAGAACAATGAAAGATGTCTGACTTTTTTTTTTAACTGGTTACTGCACTTTGCTTTATTAAATAAGCCTAAATGTCTTTTCGTAAAAAGCAAATACGGTTTTCGTTTTAAGCTCCTTCTACAGAATGCCCTCTGCATTTCTCTTCACCAACGTAATGCAACCGATCAAAAACTTTACAACTCTCCATGAATACATTCCTGACATATCACAATGTACAGAGATTCACCTTTTGTCATTAAAAATCACTCCTCATGCCCGAGTAGAGAGACTATGCCTAGGTACACTCTCGCAAGGAGTGATGTCATCATATAAGTCTGCTACATGGGTACTGTTAAAACATTGTAACTTTCTGGCAGCTTACAAGTTCAGGAGCATAATTTTTGGGTAGACTGACCCTTTATCCACGCATATAAGTGCAATAACTATGAAGACAACTAATACTGTAGATTCATTTAACAAATAATCCATCGAAAAATCGAGATCTACAGGAAACCCAAAAGCCGCAATTGATCCAGAGGAAGAAAAAACCGTTATAACTAGGGATGCACCGATACCGGTATTTTGGTACCAAGTACTGATAATTTTTTTCGGTACTCGCCGATACCAATTACTGAGTAATGGAAGTCCTATTCAGGAAGCCAGGTGGTGTGTAATGACTCGCCACCCGGCTTTCCGATTAACAAGACAGTCTGTCCCTTCTTACCTCGACATGTCCAGCCTGTCACCCCCGGGG